ACACAGGTGGGATAGCACATGCTGGCTCTTTACAGGGAGGAAAAGATGTTAGCATACAAAAGAAGGGCGTGGATCTTGCCAGCTTTTGGGCTTTGTTTTATAGCTTTATTAGAATACTGTCGGAGGTGGATATAGGAAAATGTTTAAAGGTTTTTTTTATACCACGTGAAGCTTCATTTTCTTCTTCTTTTTTTTTTTTCTTTTCCTTCCAAAACATATTTGCAAAGTATTATATTTTTTAGCAGGTACATGAAAGTATGACGTTCTGCAACAAATACCTTTAATGGTTGCGCTCATAAATCATGCTCAATTCATGTTAGTTTAGAAAAACTAGGAAGAACGAATAAATAAATAGTGCTGCTGAGCCATAGGGGATTTAATGGATAACTTCTTAAACATTGTGCTTTTGACAAGTTCAGAATGTTTTCCTTTTAGAATATTTATAGCACGGGTGTTATATTTACCACTGCTCCCTTTTAATTGTACTGTAGCTGAAGTAGAAATAAATCCTCTAATCTCTATCCAGCATGGCAAGCCCTCCCAGCAACTGCCTCTGTCATTCCTGTTGGTTCATATCTTTTAATTTTCAAATGTTATCTGGATTTAGCATGAGGCATTTTTCTTGTGGGAAGGGAAATCTCTTCAGTCCTATAGCCTGTGAAAGCTAAAGGAATATGCCATTTTTAATATTTTTTTCCTGTTTTCCCTATGTTTTCTCCAGGTCCTCCTGACAGTTTTACAGTAACAATTTCATTCATGCCAAAAAAAAAAAACCTAATACAATACCATATGAACCATTCAGTAAACATTAGTTTTAACTGTCTCCCTCCTCTCAGTGAAACAGAAGCAGCAGACCAATTACAGGATCACTGGGAAACATATTGGTACCAAAACTGAAACTGATTTAAAACTATCCTTACCTGCATCTCGCTTCTGTCAGGTGCTGAAGACTTAATCAAATGTTTAATTTTTGGCTCCTATTCCCAGGGAGGCTGGCCATATTCACACAGTCAGCCCATGGCAAATGTTGCATTCGTTCAATTTGTTGGCGTGCTTAAACTTAAGCATGGGTCAAAAAGCTGGGTATAATGTCACTGGAGTACCCAGAGCTGGGTAGCAGCTAGTAGCAGACCACTAGCAAAAGGCCTGTAAAGCCTAAACATTTTTTATTTTTCTTTAAACGTTGCTTGACAGCTGATTGTCTAAGAAAAATAATGCAATATTGTCTCAAGCAAAACAGCACTGAGGTCTCAGCTCCAGCACTAAGCCCGACTATAAAACAAATAATATTTCCATCACACGTGCCAGCTTTGTGAAACTCTTAAGCAATTAAATATTTTGTGCCTTCACTAAAGATGTTATAGAACCATTTAGATATATTTGTATGTTCGTGATCCTTGACAATCCCAGGAGTAATTCAAATAGTAGCATATAAAATAGCATAATGAGAGACAGCTGGGATTTCCATTTGCATTTTTTTCATAATATAAGAGCTAGTGAGCACCGAATGAAGTGTAAAAGATAGCAAATGTACACTTGCAGAAGGAAAATAGTTTGCATAATTAACCATGAACTTAACTGCCAAGTGTCACAGAATCACAGAATGGCTGAGGTGGGAAGGGACCTCTGGAGATCATCTAGTCCAACCTCCCTGCTCAGGCAGGGTCCTCTAGAGCACATTGCCCAGGATCGCATCCAAGCAGGTTTTGACTGTCTCCAGGGAAGGAGACTCCACCACCTCTCTGGGCAACCTGTGCCAGTGCTCTGTCACCCTCACAGTGAAGAAGTTTTTTCTCAGGCTTAGGTGGAACTTCCTGTGGTTCAGTTTGTGCCCGTTGCCTCTTGTCCTGTCGCTGGGCACCACGGAGAAGAGTCTGGCCCCACCCTCTCGACACCCTCCCTTCAGATACTTGTATACATTGTGTCCTTTTAATGTTGCTATTTACAAAATATCTTACACATTTTATGAGAGTCATAAAAGTACCTACAGTGTGAAAACTTGCCTCTGTTACATCAAGTGGCAAAACTCCCATCTGATTTAATGGAACCAAAGCTAAAATGTGTGCTTTGAGGCTGAAGTGAGCCACGAAGGCCTGGATTCAGGCCATTTAATGTTAGGTCCCTCAGAGAGCCCTCTAATGAGGAGTGCAGGCGCCTTAGCTCTCCTGCACACCCAGTGGAGGCAGGGGTGCTCTGTGGGAAGGATGCAGACCTAAAGGGGTTAAATTGCCTTGAGGAGACAACCATTACTTCCTGCAGAGCCAAAGGTAAATGCAATCATAATGTGTCAGATGCCTACCAGCCAGCCAGCAGGATTTCTAGAAGAATAGGAGGGCAAGCACAGCACCGCCGGGATGCTCCTGCTACTCCCGGCAGGTGGGACAGTCATGGGAGCAGATGAACTGCTGGTGGGATCTCCTTATTCCAGGAGGGGGAAATGGGAGGGTGAAGGGGAATGATTTTATTCTGAAACATGAAAAAGTGTTTCTAGAAACACTGGGTCCATTTACTAAGAAAATGAAGGGATGCATTTCATGCTTTAAGAAGGCTTTTATAATACGTATTTCTAAAGCTGCGTAGCTTTTCCGTCCTCAGGATGCATATACGCAGCAATGAATTTCTGTGGAACCGCCAGTGCTGCGAAGAAAAAGTTGGCACTTGGACAGCACTGTTTTAAGAGCGCTTAATACTCCTTTAAATAAAAGCTTACTCAAGTTTCTAAAATCTCATTTATAGTGGATTTCAGTATTAACGATTTATATTATTTAGTGATTTGAGCTGAAATTGACCTCATCAAAAGCTGCTGCTATGTGCATTGAGCTGTTAAATATCTGTATTATAGTGTAACAGTTAGGTTATGAATCGCCCACTTACTGCCTCTTAAGGCCTGACCTTGGCCTCCTTGACTTCATTTTTCAGTATGCTTGTTATGCTCTGTTATCTGTGTGATTTTCAGTTCTCATGATCCATGTGAGGACGTGAACCCACAAATAATATAATGAAGATCAAGTGGCTAGATTTATTGGGCAGTTCTGATATCCAAGTACAAGTATATGGGCATTTAACTTTGTAATCTGAGCTGGCCTGTGAAGGTCTGTAAATGTACCTCTGCACATGTGAAATTGTTTGTCTTTGAAAATGGATATGACCACATGCAATTTGAGATCTGGGGTTAACCTGCATTGTTTATAAAAAACACTTCCTTGAGACTGACTCTGAAAAAGGGATTTTATATTAACATGCATTTATTATGTGAAGCAGCCTCTTCTTTTGCAGAGGTACTTGCACAGGTATTTCATGCAGCCCCATCGCCAATACTGCTTGCGAGGGAAAGTTGTGAAGGTTGCCAGAAAAAAGAGGAGCACGGGCTGATGCCATCCCTTAAAGGACAAAGTGAAATTTGTGTGACAAATGCCTCTTGTCACACTACGAAATTGATGAATTATCACTTACTGAATTAGTTTGTGCTTTTCAGTGACTTGCAGAATTATATCAGAAATATTTCAGCATGACTTCATATCTTTATAGATCTTAGAAACGTGAACCTCGTCCCTTTCTTTGCTAAAATTAGAAACCTGTAGTTCAAAAGGGATCTCAACGACTTTTTAAATTACAAAGGGATGTCTCATAAATAAGTATTCTGGGAGGGCTGTAATTTCTGTATTGGGTAAGTTTTAGTGATCCCCATGGGTTTTTTTGTTTTCTTCTCTTCTCATGTAATGGATTGCCCTATATTTAATAAGAAAGCAAAAACTGTTTTGGCTATCATTTAGAACTGGTTTGAAGCAAGCAGAGCACATCTAATAGCCCAGGAAGACTGCCTGGGGGGAAGATGTGGGAGGAAAGGGTTGAGTTTCTCATTCTAGCTACTACACCGCCCACGTCCTCAAGTAAATCAGGTCCCTCCTTCATCTCTGAAGGGCTTCCTTTGCTTGTAGTCATCAGTTTTCCCTCAATGAGAAAAATAAGCTATGTTTTTATTGACCTTGACATGGGACCACTTTCCTATTCCCCATTTGCTATCTTCTTAAAATGTATTATTGTGTGAACCACTGCTAGGCCACAGACTATGCTTTAGGGGACATTTTTGTGGCTAGCAATAAAGGGCAGTCCGAAGGGGAGTTCTCTTGATACTTAAGTGCGGAAGTTATTTTATTGCTCAGTCACACTTGCCAAGATTTTTCAAAGGAGACAACCGATGCACGTAGCTAACTAGAGACACGCTGAAAAGGCCAGATTTTCAGGAAATCCCAACTAATTTCATGTTAAAATGCAGGCTTTTATTTTGTCAGACAACCAATCACTGTAATCACTTTTGGAACAAAGTCGCAAGGGCACCTCGTTGGGAATCAGAAAGAAATGTGGCTCCAGGGAGAGGCCAAGAAAAGCACAGCTTTCTCTTGCTACGGTTATTTCACGTTGTTATGAATTATATAGGGTCGTGTGGAGTGAACCAGGAAACAGCTTCTCTTCTTGAGTAAAATACATCAACTGGCAGTTTTCATTCAACCTGTGACACGTTTTAGCCAAAGTAGGACTGACCAGAGCTAATGTGGTTTAGTCACAATCAAGTACAACTGTCATAGTGCTTAAGGATAGATTTTCTTTAAGATTTGGTGTGGATTTACACCAATAGACATTCACAGATTTTGGTGAAGCCACTCTAATTTAAGCGAATGTAAGTGAGAAGAGAATTAGACCCCACGTTGCAGTTACACTGTAGGGAGCTGCAGTTGTGTTGGCTGTCTAATTCTTGGCTTTTTGAAGGCTCTTGTACTGCTGGTTTGAGGAGCAGAGGGAGAAAGATCTCCCAGCAAAGTGCCCAGCAGTGGCAAAAGCCTTATGTAAAGGAGTAAAACACAGCAATGTCCCGTAACAGCCTGATGAGATGGGGACTCACTTCAAAGCATAACCAATATGCTCAAATCTCTTAAAATTGGTCTGAGAGAAGTAAAGCAGTGCTCCTACTGCAGTAGGTAATCAAGCAGCAAAATTAAAGGTTATCTGGCCAGAGATATTCTGTTAGATAAAAAGGGGCTCTGTATTACAGTGAATCTATTTATCTTTGTCTTATCATTCCTATGACCAGTTTCTGAAAGGCTGAATTATTTTTTTCTTCTCTTACAGTGGTTCACTGTCAGATAAGCGGTTTATATTTACCTCAAATGGTAAGAATAATAGCCTCATTTTTAGATATTCAAATTGTACCTTTTTCTTTAAGTATTTTCTGCAAAAGTTTTGAAAAGTAACCAGAAGAATGTCAGGCTCTGTATGATATGGTTATTTTAGGATAGCAATTTTTAAAAATTGGCAAGTTAAATAAAGAATTGAAGAGATGTGAAGTCAGCTAGAAAAAAACAGAATAGGAGTAGGTCATATGCACATAGATCAAAAACAGAAATAGTATTCTGATCTTACATTTCTGGTGCTAGTATGTGAAAAAGGCAATTTGATAATCCCATTTTTATGTACTTTAGGTAGCAGAAAATGAAAGCAGTTTTTCTTCAGACACTTATAAATTCTGTCTTCATCATACAAGGAGAGAACTAAAACAGAAACAAAAATATATGTACATTACAGTGATATAGAACTAGTTCTTGTTTATGACTTTGCAAGATGCAAAACCATCTTCAATCTCTCAAGCTGTTAATTTGCATATAAACGTAGTGAAGAGGGGGAAAAGTTCATGTTCATTCATTTGAATTTTACTTCAGTCATCTGAGATAAAATCATTTACTATTCCACTGAAAACTATAAAACATGTACAGGGCTTTGAAATTGCCAGGGAATTATTTTTAACTTCATTGAAACTGTAACACATTGGCCTGTTTTTCTGAAGAACCTTGACGTTCTTCAGGTTCTTTGGTGGAGTTTGCAATACTTATATGCAGCTATTATCTTCATGATATCACCTTTTGGCAGCAGTATCAAGGAGCTTCTCTGATGAGTAACTTTCCTAGCCTTAATTACAGGTCAAAATCATGAACTGCTTACAGTAAAATGTTCCTTTCAGTACAGTGTGCCTTCATCTTGAAAATGTTTTGTACAGCAAAATTAGCTAATGTCAATAATAGCTAATATAATGTAATAGCTATTATAGTTCAGAAGAAAATATTAAAACTGCAAGAAGTCTTCACATGAATGAAAATATACTGCAGAGATTAAAAAACAAAATGGCAAGGAAAATAAGCAGATATAGTCAGAAGGTCCTGGGCATATAGGAGCTAAATTGATAAAGGAGAAGGAGCACAGCCCTCTGGTACTGAATTATCCATTACAAATCCACTGGCAAATGCTACGGCTAATGGATAGCGTCAGGTTAGCACTAGATTAAGCAATATCTGATTTTGCAGATGTGGGTGATCTTTTATAGGTTACTGGCTTAATGTCAAAATGTGCCATGAAAACACAAAATAACTCTTCTTTCGTCTCTCTATGTTGGGACTCCTAGGCTGCAATAAATCTCTCAGTCTGGAAGAGGGATTCTTCTCCAAGAGCCAAATTACTGCATCTTCCTACTGGGAGGAGACCAATGAATTTGGGCAGCAATTTCTGTGGTCCCCTGACAAGGCTTGGCTTCAGGTCCCAGGACTGGCTTGGGCTTCCAACCACAGCAGCAGTCGTGAATGGTTAGAGATAGACTTGGGAGAGAAGAAGAGAATAACAGGTAAATTACTAGCTGGTTAATAGGAGCTGTTTTTTCAGCTGGAGAAAGAAACTAAATGCAGTTGAAAAGCTAATAATGCACTACTGCAATATTCATTTTATTAAATGTAATTAAACATTCTATATGGAGGAATAGTATTTTCATACTTAAGAAATGGTAGTTATTTATAAGACTGGTCTTCCTACAAGAATACAAGATTAGACTCAACTAACATGCATGCAGATCATGTTAATTAACTATAAACATGCTGTAGGGTCAGAGAAATTATTTACACTGTGACCACTAGAGCATGGATATATGACAAATGATTATTTAGGATCTATTCATGATGCCTTTCTCAAATCAATACAAAATATTAAAGTCATAGCCTTTGAAATAATGGCCCAGGTGAAAGAGATCCCTGCTGCCAACTCCTGATTTCGTTGTAAAAATGTAAATTACAGTTGCTGCTGATATGGACCGTAATATCCAAAAGCAATTACCATTTAGGGGGTCATTAATAAGGGTTTTGTTAAAAATTCCAGAGCTTGAAATTTGCAACGGAAAACTGATTTCCCTTCTTCACCTAGCTCCTCAACTCAGAAACCACTCCTGAATTCCCAGCATAGTTTGAAAAGTAAATTAAGACTTTGAAGGCAAAGTTTCTGAATTGTTTTTGCTTGTGTATTTGCATTTGAAAATGTTCCTTTAAGAAACAGAGCTAAGAAATGAAAATGTATTTTATTTTTTGTTGCCAGGGATTAAGACCACTGGTTCTGGATCCACTATGCTGAATTTTGACTTTTATGTAAAGACATTTATAATGAACTACAGAAATAACAACTCAAAATGGAGAACTTACAAAGGAATTCTAAGCAATGAAGAAAAGGTAAGAGAAGGTGTGTGGCAGGGGGGAAGCACAGGAAAAATGCTTATGCTGCCTTGACATTGAAGGACAGACTTTCACTGTCAAGAAAGATGCGGAGTTTTAGACTTGTCGAGACTTGGATAGTCCTCACCACTGTAATTTACGGCTGTGGAATAGATAGTGGGCTTGCCAAAAAAAAGGAATTTACCTGGGGCTTGCTGAAGTTGTGAACTACAGATATATACGCATATGTATGTATGTAGGCATGTATCCTTTTTTTAAAAAAAACAGTGTAGTTAAAGCTGTACAAAAGCTGTACATGCTATTTGGGCATGTGTTTGGCTGCACACCCTCTGCGCAAGAAAGGCTCTATCTATAGCACAGCAGTGCGGGTATGTGCAACGTCACCAAAGCTGTATTTCTGCACTGGTATGGTAAACCCACCCCCCGCACAAGCAAAACGACCGGCACCAGTGAAAGTGTGGCATCGCTGGTAGAGCTCTGTCTACAGAATGACCTTCTGTTCGAACCGTGTTGTGTTAATCAGGGATTACACTGCTTCCTGCCCCTGGCTGGCATAATTCTTCTGACAAAAGTCTGTAGAGACAGCCTACATCTGCCAGGAATCAATGTAACTGTACTAAAATAATGCTTTTAAATCAAAATACCTGTCCACACAACAGCTTTCACAGACTCTGTTTGAATCATTTAACAATGAACTGATGAAAGCAGGGCAGCTTGTTGATGCAGACAGAGGATGTGTTGCGCAAGTTCGTATGTTAACATTTTTCTGTGAAAACCTTGTGTTTCCTTTAAAACAAAACAAACGAAAACCAAAAGCTCCCAGAAAGCTCAAAGCCTGATCTTCACTCATCATTTCTGCGGATTGAAGGAGCTTACCTTTTCTCAGGATCAAGTTCTACCCGGTCCTCCGCCTGACTACAGATATAAAAAACTTGCAAGACCTGAAGAGAGATTTCCTACTAAATCTGGCAGAATTATGAAAAGCAGACATTGAAAATCTGCTGCTTTGCAGTGTCCCACAATGACTTGTTATTAACAAATAATCTTATGAAGTTATTATATCTGAACTTAGTTCCAACAGGCACATGGTGGAACCTGTCCCATCAGAACCCTGCGTGGCTTTGCGCTTGATCTTATCTGTACGTGTGCTGGACTGACTCTGGGAAATACCGTACAAGTATAGAGACTACAGCCACATGGTTAATAGTCACTCATTCAATACTGATACAGAAAATTGACAATTTTACTGAAACGTCTAGAAATATTTCACTTTCAATAAATAGTAAGGTTGGGTTATGTTTCTTCTTACATTTTTTTCCCCTGTTGCCCAAGTAAGGGCACTGCCGTGCTATTAAATCAAAAATGATAGCATTAAGCCAGGATATATTAACTAGAAATTACACAGAATTGAAACAGAGTGATAATCTTTCTTCTCTGTCTGAGCTAATAGCAAAATGTGATCATCTGTCAGAACTAAAAAGATTATTTATTTTCAGAGTTCTCAGTACTAAAATCTTGCAGTTACATCCCAGATTATCAATATATTAGCTTTAGGGTAACAAAAACATTTAAAGTTGGATGTAAGGAGTATTTCTGACAAACAGGCTTTTGAAATAGAGCAAATTATGTGCTTACCTGTTGTTGTAGGTATTCCAAGGCAACTCCAATGCTGGTGACATAGTACGTAATAATTTCATCCCTCCAATAGTGGCCCGTTATGTGCGAGTTATTCCCCAAACCTGGAACCAAAGAATAGCATTGAAGCTTGAGCTGATTGGTTGTCGAATAATGCAAGGTATGGGGTAAGCACCACTTCCAAGGCATGGCACCTGAAAAGTGGGCTGTGTGACCACAGTGCAACTGGTTCCCCATTCTCTTTTTCAGGTAATAGTTCATTTACGCATTCAATGTGGCAAAAGCCAAGTCAGAGCACAGAAACCTCCCTTGGAAAAGAAGACCGAACAGTTACAGAACCCATCCCATCAGAAGAAACTAACTTAGGTAATGCTACGTAGCAGTACATTTTCTCTGGGATATGTCACAGCTTCATCCCTGACTGAGTAAACTTTAAATTTTATTCTCACAAATCAAAACTTTTATTTTCCCTTCAGACTGTTTAAAAGGTTACCCACAAAGAGAGGAGGGAGGAGCACAGGTTCTTTTAGCTTTGAGGCACAGAAAGAGATTGAAAACCTTCATTTTTCTTGATATGAGGAATACTGGGCATTCGTTTTCCGGTCATATTGATTTATTTACCATGCTTGGTAGGCTCAGGGAAGCATACTGAGAACTGTCTCAGTATTTTGTTGGAGGAGCCCTTATATTCCACGCTCTTGCCCCATATATTATAATTTTTGAGGCAGTGGTCTCACAGAAAGGTTACCTTCCCTCTAAGCAACCATGACTCCTGCCCAAGGTAGCTCCCCAGCCCTAAGCAAGATACAGTCATGTTATGATTGTGTAAGCAAACATTTTTTCATAATGCATATGTTCAAGGAGGCTCAGACAAGCTCTCGTACTTCTTAATCCTTTGAAGTAATTTCTTAGATCTTGAAAAGCAAGGTAACAAAACTTGTTGTATATACTAACTGTCTGATGGATCCATAGCCAGGTAGGAGCTACCAGAACTACTGCACCAAACACTGCCACCTGTCAGGTAACTGATAATTGTAGCATTATCTCTATAAACAAACTAGTTGCAAGGAGCAATCATTGTAAGAAAAAAAAAAATCTTCTAATCTTCTGAAACTGCATTGCTCTTGCCTGGAGCAAGCTCAGTTCATCTGTGCAGAAGTATGAGTAAACTGTATCAATGTTCACTGAAAATGAAGTCTTTTAAGATTTCAATTGCTAAACTTGTAAGTTCTCTTCGGACATGTGCACTTCCTCATTCTATGCCTTGTAAACAGCCATAGGAGTGGCAGCAGGCACACTCTTGACACAAAAGCCACTTCACTGATAAATTTTGAATCCCTGCCCTAAACCATGGTGTATTACAATTTAACATGGGCAACACATATTTTCCCCTAGCCCCATTCTCAGTAATGGTTGAACTCTTTTGACTGAATTGTCTCAACCAGGTCAGCATGAGCCAGAAACTCAGTATGTAAAATTGCAGCCTCATTTGTTGGCAGTTTTATGTGCTGCTGAAAATAGAGTTGTTATAAGTGGCTTTTTGTGAAATTTACCTACTGTGTTATAAGAAAGAACTGCTCTTTGGAAGGATGCATATAGGTATTTAGTTAAGTCTGAGAAAATATATCAACCTTGAAAAAATATATTTAACTCTTTAGTCTCAACACAGGTACAGATATGCATGTGACATCAAAGCATCATTGAGAAGTGGTCTTGCAGTTTTACAGTTTTACGTTTTCATGCTCTCTTGCAAGGAGTGCTTCCTCTAAGATTATCAGCCTTTTGCTGTATTCTCTATAGTAAACATTATCCAGCTTCAAAGTCATTTGCCTTTTTAACTTTTTTCCATTTTTTTTTCTCATGCAGGCTTAAAGCTTACAGCTATAATTGTCCCAGTCCTCATAGTGCTGTGCCTGTTCCTGTTCTCTGGAATTTGTATCTGTGCAGCTCTACGAAAGTAAGACACTGCCTTTTGTCATAGGGTATTCGTGGCTACGTAGCTGGCATTTCCAACTACATGCCCCTTTTCCAGAGCCTCTTTACTAAGAGGCTGTTATTGTTTTGAAGCCATCCTTTTGAACAGGACTCATGTTGTGTCTTTGTAAATTGTATTTCTCAAACATCCCTTAGTCAGACAAAACCAAAGGTGAAGTAGGGCAGAACTGCATACCCCAATTTTTAGAGTCCTGTGTAACTGGTTATTCTCTTTTGCCTACTTGGACCCACAAACACGAAGCGATAATGCAGTCTAAGATGGAATAGTTTGCACACCAAAGCGAAGTAAAAATTCAGCTGGGGAGGGGGGAGGATCTGAGCTATCTGAATCATTTTCTTTCACTTCTCTCATGTTATGTTTCTAACTCCTGGTCTCTTAAGTTAAAGCTCTTCACTCGGTGGGCTGAAATCAGAGCTGATTTATAAGGAGTTGAACACACAAAGTATTGTTAAGCAGATTCCTAAGCTGCTTCCTTTCACGAGCTAGAGGACTGGGAGAAGCATGGCTGGCTTTGCTTCTTGCTAGACATCCATTCATATGAACTTGCCTCTGAACGTAGACCAGGGAAATGTTTGTCAGCAGATGGGGATTTGGAAGTACAAATAAATCTCTTGTGATGTTACTTTATCATTAACAGCACCCAACTCTGCCCTAGATTTCTGGAAAAATCCATAAAGTAGTCAAAGAATTCAGGATAGCAGACTCAAGAGCAACATATAAGGACACGCACGCATCAAATCATGAGTGCCAGCTCCAGCAGAAGAAATACAAACACCAGCATGCAGAACCTATATTCTGATGGGGGGAACTTAAATGTCAAAATGCTGGCTTGCATGTCTTACATTATAAATACCGTTCTCAGAAAATAAAAGTGAACAATTGTCCTCAGCCTCCAAATATGACGATTCTCTCTGTTGAAGCTAAGGAACAAAGACGAAATGTTGAGAATGCAAAAGTTTATAACAGCTTTCCTATCCTTACAGGCGAGAAACCAAAGGACTTTCTTATGGATTATCCAATGCTCAGAAATCAGGTTAGTGGAGGATCATGAGTTTTGTCCTGTCCTGTCCTGTCCTCTCTGTGGGGCCAATGGGAAGAGTTTTATGCAATTAAGCATGAAATGCTTATGAAATAGAATCGAGGTTTCTTCATTCAAATTCACTATTTCATACAAGAGAAATGGCAAATGATAGTCCCACTAGTGTCATCCTATCACAGTGCCCAGAGAAACAATATAATTTGGTTTCTATGACAGAAAGGCAATTAGCAAAAGATCTATTATACAAAGTGCATAAATTAGCATATAAGAGTGCTCCCAGGTGCCCTCTCTTCCCTTCCCTCTTCCAAAATACCTATTTTGCAGAAAATTGCTACTTTCCTTTTTTCCCCTCACAGCGTAGGGGATTGCCTTTCTCCAAGAGAGCAACGGCTAATAATTTTATTATGGCTTTACTATTTCCATTCATTGCCTTCCTTGATTGGGACTATACTTACAAAACCTAACAATACTGAAGCGTTCTTCATGTGTAAAATCAGAATAGAGTTTTGGCTTGAGGACTTTGCTTTAGAAGATGCCTGCAAAACCCTGATGAAGTAACATGTTTTGTCTTGCTTGGTTAAGCTCTCTAGAGTGGGGTCTCCTGTCAGGTTGGAAAGTGGAGTTTATAGCTGCTTTTCCTTACCTGCCAACTCAATAGAGGAATATCCTTCTGAATCTTAATGTTTCATAAAAAGAAAAAGGAAAAACAAAGTAATTCACTTGTCTCTTGACAAATTTCTTGCAGCAGCTCAGCTACAAAATTTCATCTCTCAGCAGATATTGACGTCAGTGAAAGAAACTCTGTTACCCGTTTCAGCTCAGCCTCATTAGAAAATTAATTTGTACTTAACATCATATTTGTTAATATGATTCCTCAAGGTCACATCATATAATCCTTTCTCACTTGCTAATGAGGACAAATCCCATGAAATTGGAGATAGCCTCTTACCCAGTCAGTTCATTTGCAGTGTGTGTGCTTCATAACTCAAGCTCCTAAAAGCTGTGAACTAGGCTTGGGACTTCTTAAAAAGATGGGAGTTGAACCCACCTCTCTACAGATTTCCTGTTACAGGCTCCAGATAAGTAATTTACACAGTGGAATTTCTCTTTTCTGTCCCACAAGGATGCTGTGAGAACAAATTAATTGATAAGTGCAGGTGCTCAGATATTAGGGAAATGGAAGCCATATTAGTCCACTGAAAAAAAGAAATGCTCTAGACATTTTAAGCACTATTTTTGCCACATAAGTGATGGCAAAATATTTAGCTTATATAGAGCTGGTATTTTACTAATATAGTTTGTTAAGGTATCAGTGCTGGCACCCACAAAGTTTGAGACGTTTTTGCCAAGAAACGAAAACAAGAAAAACTTATGTATAGTTTAGTTTTCACTTGGAAAAGCCCAGCTGATGGTTCTTTATTTCCCTTTCACCTTGTAAATTTAGGGGGGGTTGTTTTTGAGGGTGTTGTTCTTTTTGCAAACAGCCTGTTTTAGTCTTATTTTCTAGCTACTTCAGTATTTTGATAACGACATATACACCAAAAAAATTAATTTTCTGATAGGCCCTGAAGTCTTCTATTTTTTCTTTCTTTATTATAGGTTGCTGGAAACAAATCAAGCAGCCCTTCACCAGACATCAGTCAACTGAATTTACCATTAGCTATAATAATGAGAAGGATACACCTCAAAAACTAGATCTGGTCATGAGTGACATGGCAGGTAACAACTTCTCTCCTCCCCCTCTTCCCCCTAAGCATTTATTTTACTCATCATACCAAGTAGATAGCCAGAAGAGGAACAGGCTAGAAACATTAGCAGTTCTAGCTCCCATGCAAGCTGAGGTCCAGGAACAGATTTACCTATATTCATTCTGGAGATTTAGTGACGCAGCTAAATATATTAGAGAAGGGAAAAAAAAAACACTAGATGATCCCTTCATTTTTTATGGGACTTGATTTTGCAAAATTTGGGTGGAGGGGGGAGTATCGACACAGATTTTCCTCATTCTGGCATAGTTATGGTTAAAGGTGACTGTGGAAGGCACTCAGGCATGGACGTAGTGCAAGAATGTGCCTAGGATAGAATAGTTTGACTTTGCTGACTAATTTTTACATTTCTATTTGAAGTCAAATGTCTCTGGAAGTGGAACAAAATACAATGACCCTTGCTGCTGATCAAACAGAAAAGTTTAGTCTGTGAAGGGGTTTCATGGCCAGCCAGAGGTCACGCTGAGACCTCTATGCAGCTCTCTTGTGCCTTATCCATTTTCGGAGACTAGGCCTCCCCAGGTGAAGTAGGCAGATGAGAGAGAGAAAAGCAAAGAAAACAAACAAAAAAGATGTGCTTCTCTGTGTGCTACCTTGCCTCCAGGTTATTGTTTGGATAGAGTAAATCCCTGCGTCAGTGCTATTTGCATCCTGAAGGGATGTTTTTTTAATTCATCCTCTTAGCACCTTTTATCCCTATCCAGTTTTCTGTCTGAAAAGGCTAGTGAGACCAGCCATTTTGTCGGATCAGTGAGCAGCGATCTCCCAGAAGGATAAATTTGCTGTTTCCAGCCTCCAGACCTTAGAATTCCTTAGAATTTCTCCTACTGTGTTTGGCAGAGAAATACAGTTTAAAAAAAAAAAAAAAAGGAAAGATATTGTAATTCCATGGGGTGCTACTCTGAATCGTTCTCAAAGATGTTTTCAATGCTTTAAAGAAACATTCTATATAAAAATTGTGAGATCTATAAAGCAGTTTTATTTTGCAAAGGAGAGGGAGTGAATAAAAGTTCTTTACAAATCATGGTTATCAGGCTACTCTGACTATGCCTAGGGAGTCTGCTTTCTCCACCTTCTCTTTCTGCATGTGAGAATTCTTAACGCTAATTCTAGTCTGGTAGCTCCTGAGATTTAGTATTTCACTTACAGTCACCTTAACAATAAGAAATATTAAGTAGAAAATGTGAATGAAGCCCAGAAATGTGCAGCAAATGCCATTTAATAATTAGACTGCAAAGGGCATGCATCTTGCCTAATAGGTTTCCTAATACAGGAAATTCTTGCCCTTCAAATTTCCTGCTATTTACTTGTTCTCAAAGACAACCCAGAACAAGTCAAGACACTTCATTCTAAGCTACTAAGAATTACTTAGAATGGCAGCAGTGATGCTGGAGAAAGCTGCATTACTTACTTATTTACTGAAATATCATAACACCTTCACCCTACACACTAAAGTTTGGGAAGTAGCCAGGAACTGCCAGCAAGATTCACAGGACATATGGGATTGAATTCAACGCTCATGTCAGATGAACCATGATGCCAGAACAGAAACTGAGTTAACTTCTTAACGCCTGCATCAAAATATGATACTTTATTGGTGCCATTTACTAGAGCTGTTCCGACCAGCATTTATATAAATAAGAAATTTTCAGCAGCACTAATGTGAAAAAGTTAGAACTTTGAATTTTTTCATAATAATTTTACTAGATTTTTTTGAAAACCATTTTAATTCAGATCTCTTTCTTACTCTCTTAAAGAGCCTGGGATGCTCTTTAACTAGAGGTGCAAACACGTGCTTCTTGAGGCTGCGTTTCCTTTATTTTACTTCTTGCTCCTACTTGGTCATTTGCGAATTCCTAATTCTTTTCCTGCCGTCTTCCTTGACTGAGGTAACTGTCCACTGCCTCTGACAGCGCTGTTCCCACTTCTTGTCTTATGGCTTGCTCCTCCTCACACACACGCTTCAGTTCTGAGCTGACTTAACACATTTCACACTTTCCTTGACTCTCTTGGCTGCCATTCCATCTAACTTTATCCTTCTTGTCATTCAGCTACTGTGAGATTCCTTTTAAATAAGGCAGGCACTTGGTAGGGCTTGTTAAGAATCCTCCAGGCATTTTAATTATTCCAAAAGTGGAACACTTGTTTTGGGAACTTCTTATTTGTGGAACTTCATGTAAAGTCTTTTGTCTGATTCATTGCTAATATTTTGTTGACTTTTATCTTTTTCAGTGTTTTGAGTATACTCCAAAAATGACGTTAATTTATTTGGTGGGCAGGTGGGGAAAGGAAGGAAGGGAGCAAGAAGAGGGATGGCAGATTGTAGCTTCTCTGTGGAACAGCTTCTGCCAAGTTCTGTAAGGCATGCTTGCTGAAGGAGATTACAGAAACTGAGCTGGCACAATGTTTCCTCACATACCTGATAATAATGTATTTGTTATAATAGCTGAGTCGTTTTTCAGTTCTGCTGCTTACTACATAAAATAATCCATGTATATGTTACTGAGTAGTTCATGCTTCCTTTTAGAGTATCAGCAGCCTCTCATGATTGGAACTGGGACAGTGACACGAAAAGGATCTACTTTTAGACCCATGGACACCGAAGATGAGGGAAGAAGGGGGAGTTCAGAGTTCGAAAATCACTATCACTGTCCACAAATAGCTAACAGACATGAATATGCTCTGCCCCTGACCAGTCAAGAACCTGAATATGCCACCCCCATCATAGAACGGCATATGGCAAGAGAAAATAATTTCCCCTCTGAGAACGGCTACAACGTACCTGTAATCTCATCTCATAAACATTCTCTTTCTGCTGGCAGTTTCTCTAGTTCATGTAAGACCGATGCCAGGAACGGAGACTACCAGACACCTCAAAGTGTAATAAACTATGATAAACCTAAAGTTAACAGTATTCTGACCTCTGTGAGCTATAGTACGGACTACCAGAAACCTCAAACTAATTCACTAGGAAGCGAGGGTTACTCAACACCTAGAGACTGCCTAAAACCAATAAGCCAGACAGCAATGACAGCTCTCTTGTGATCTGTTGAACAAGAGAGACTTAGTGCACAGGAATGTTACTGTACAGCTTCTGAAATGAAAACAGAGTTGTAAAGGAGTCTACTGTGGAAGGCAGAAGGCAAACAAACCCTGTGTACATAATATTGCTGTCTTGCTGGGTTCTGACATCTGAAGAAAGCATATGCTGTTTATCACTGTTTATAGCAAGAGAGATGTTATCACTGAAGACTGTATATCTTATTTTCTGTAACTGATCTCAGTGCTCTGTTTGCAATGTGTGCAATTTGTATATAGCTTTTATTTAAGGAGAATTTCTTAAGTTTCCTTTTCACCTGTGGAATTGAAAGGAGAAAAAAACTATTGCAGAAATGCCTGTTTAAAAAAAAAAACAGGCCTCCTCCTCTGACTTTATCTGCTGTTGTACTGGCAGCTGTAAATTGTATATCTTACGGTTGTGGTGGTTCATTTCCTTTCCTATGATAACTGAAGATAGGGCATCAGTATAGTTCTTCTTGGGAGGGTAGAAGAAGTAAAACTACTTGAAGCATAAAGTGCACAAGAAAAGGCAGCTGAGCATTTAAATGCTGTGTTCAAACCCACCTTCTCAGCTGCTTTTTTAGTAGTAATTTTTACATGCTTGAAGTTGTTCTGGCATATGAGCTGAGCCTGTCTAATTTGCTGTTCATGTTAAAGACGGACAGGTAAAAGGCTGAAACCTGTTTTGGGTTCGAAGCCATGGTGATCACTTTGCAGACAGATCTCCAGTAGAAAAAAAAAATCAGCACCTGTTAATCTGTTTCTTCAAGAAATATGTGAGGAACCAAAATGTGAATTTATAGCTGAGAATTAAATTCTGTTCAAGCCCCAGCTGATGACTACAAGGAAGTTACTCCATGACACACAGCAGCATACGTTCTGAACTCTTCATGGCTCCACTAGGTATTTTTCTATCCTACAAATTTAGTGTAATGTTTCTATTTGAAATATAGACAAAGTAAAGCACAATGTGTATATAATTTACTCTAGCATTTAAATTTGGAAGAGAGCAGATCAGCACAGTTGTTTTCAAATAGTTTTTCTTTTGCAGGGAATGCAATCCTTAATTCTTTTTCTGGACAAACTTGAAAAAGCGTGGGGATAGGTGCAAGTATTGCACAGTAGTCGACTCCTCTTTCAGCAGAGGCGTCGTTGAAGCTAAACAGCTTCCTGTAGCGACTGGAACTGTTCATTGCCGTTCTCCCTGCAGCACTTGGACACTTACTCTGTATTCAGAAGCATGTACCAAGAAGTGATACGCTTCCGGGGATGAAGAATGGTGCGATATTTAAGGCACAAGGTAGGGAAACCAGACCAGTAAAATCTGATCTACAGGGAAAGTCACTTACTATCTCAAGGCCCTCCATTTCTTTGTGCATAAACTGGGGATAATTTGCAAAGGATGCAACAAAGATTCTTTCCTTGTGAAGTGCTTTCAGATCCTTGGATGGAAAGTAAGAGTACAGAATAGTTGTAGTGATTCTATTTACACATATTGCTAATTCTAGCCATATCTGATCTTACGACAAGCTGTTAGTGGGTTCTTTGCATATGCTTGTTTTGTGGCCTCACTGGTGCAGTTCTCTCATGCTGATGCACAGTGCATGTAATTCCTGTGCAAGGAAAAAAAGAGTCAAGGTAACCTTGTAGCCTTCCTGTGTTTGTTGTCAATACAGTTTCTGTGAAATGTATAAAACACCTCAGGTTCTGAAGTGAAACAGCAGCAGCCTGTTTGTTAGACCAAGTCGGGCAGTGTTGTTTACCTTCTGTTGTTTACATGTCTATGTAAATAAAGAACACTGGTATTTGTAAATCAGTCACACAAGCCTGGTGCTTAACTTGGTGACTTTAATCATCACCACACACCTACGCTTGTCATGTATCCTGCAGGGTGCGAAGGAAGTGATCCTTATGCCATGCAAAAGTGCCGGTTGTGCTGCTGCAATTTATGTTCTCGGTATGACTGGCTAAAAAAAGATCATCTCCGTGCCCCATTTAGCCTGGCGTTTCTGCCCATAAGCGCTAGAGGAAAAGTTCTGTGGCCAACCTGCTGCTGGATGTATATAATTGAGGAAAGGATGAGGATGCCCTCCTGATGAGCCTGACACTAATACTCCACCCACATAGCTAATGAGCCTGACTCGTCACTTTACAAACAAGCACAGCTCAGTAATCAGAGCTATTCCCTAGCTAATGAGGCACCAACGTATTGCAGCAGTGCAACAGGACAAAGCTATTAGGCAACAGATGATATAGCTTGTATTATTATAATCCCTTGGCATGCTTCAGCCACATGCTTTCTGCATCTGCAGCATGCTACTTTACAAGTGTCAGAGGACTCTTGGTGGCACATGCTTAGTTTCTGCTGCCATTCAAATCCATCTCAACACAGCTGTTCTAGCCTAATAAAAAGTTGGCTCTCAACTTGCCTTCACCCCCTCAAAAGAACCCTGCAAAACTGCAAAAAGGTGGCTTAAAATAAAGCCCCAAATATCTGCCCTTTCCTTGTGTTACAGTGACTGGGTGCTGACAGGGACGGATGCAGCACAGGAGCCCTGTAAGAAGTCACAGCTTCAGTCACTACCATGGTGCTTCATAGTTCAAGTCTCAGTGACCAGAAAAAGCTTTGGGCTTCTCCACCTCAGCACTGGAAATATGCAGTTTTCAGTGGCTTTCAGATACTCATCTACTATACTGAGAAAAGCAAGGGAAGATCCTATTTGTATGGGACGTTCTCTCTATCCTGATGGTGGTGGGGATAACAAATGCTGATGTCACATGGAAAGGGGACTGCCTCAATTTTCTAGTGGTGGCTTATCCTCATGCCCTTCCTCAGAATGGCTGTCTATGTGTGTGTATTTATATTTTTATATACATACAGGGAAATCAAAGTCTAGTCCATCTTCATCAGCCTGTCCTCACAGACAAAAACCAGTTGCAGGTATACCATCATCAGCCTTATCAAACATTGCACTTAAAAAAAAAAAATTCCTGGCATCACTGGCTAGTAAGACCATAAAGGAGGTTAGAATATGTGCAATTTTGAAGCATTTATACACTTGGAAGGGCTGCATTTGCTCTGGGTCTCCCTTCAATGCCGCTAGAGATTGTGCTAAGAGAAGAGTCTAACCTCTTTGTGAGTGTGACCCTCTGGTTAACAGAAACTTTGCAATAGCATTTCAGTACCAAACCTCTTTGCTTAGCAGGCACTCCCAGGAGGCTGGAACAGTAAACTCAAACCAGAGTTCAAGAGAAGGTTAAACATTAACTGATCTTAGCCCTAAGGGCCTACCTGTTCCAGCTGCAGTAGATAGTAAGTCTCTCGGACTTTGCTAGGAACAGGGTCATGCACTGCAACTGCACATTAGTCTGTAACTAAGCAAACTGAAGAATGCTTGAGGTAAGAAGGTGTAAACGATGTTGTGCCCTACCTACAATTGAAATTAAAAAAAAATGACAGCTTACCTAAAGTTTCCAGCTGGTGCCTTATAGTTTAAAAAAAAAAAACACACACACACACAAAATACAAAAAAAAAAAAAACCCAAACAACTGCAGTAAAAATACAAATATGTTCTTTGCTCTCATCTCCTTGAGCCTGAGAAATGATTCTAATCTTTTTATCTCTTCCATCAAGTACCTTTCCAAGACCTGACACACGAGCTTTTTTTTTCCCCTAAAAAAGTGCAACTTTAAATAGTATTTATTTCTTTCAGTTTCAATAGTTTTTAGCACTAGATATTCAATCCCACCTTACTATCTAACAGAACTCTTTCCAGTTATCTACATATTTTATATGAAACAGGCAACAGATTAAAGTTAGTCCTTGGTTTGCAAATTGGAACTAGGATTTTCCCAGCTGCATGGACGTCCTTCCCATTCACTTATAACATCATCTGTTCTCTTTTACTGACTTCCTCTGGACAAAACACTTGTCATCATCTCGTCCTCCCTTTTTTCTGCATAAATAGCTTCAACAGGATAGGTTCAAACTGATTTGGCTACACATAGCTCAGCAGCCTGGTGGTTGTGACAGTCTCTGGGTAGATGGGAGAGGGCAGGAAGAGCATTGAGGTAAACTTGAATTTACTGCACCTGATGAGTATTGCAACCACGGAGCTAACATGGCAGTGGTTGTGGCAGTGTTTCTAGAAGCTTTTTTTTTTTTAAATGAGGGATCCTTGCTTGATTCTTAAAAAAATCATGAGGTTAGATGCCAACTTTTATGAGCACATTGTGAATCCCATGACTTGTCTGTAGTACTAGAGTGGCTAATCTCCAGGAAGACTTGAGTTTTTAATATAGCTTTTCTTCAGCTTTTTCCCATTGACCATCATTTGGCACTCTCCACTTAGCATGCAGATTGTAGTGGACCCCAGTCTGAGGCACAAATACTGCCTACACAGGGTGGGAACAGCAGGCTGTAGGTCCCATTACAGGAGCAGACATCTATGATCAGGGGTTGATCATTATCGCTAAAAATTGTATGATTTGTTTTTCCATGGTGCTGGAGACTTCTATCCCACGCAGGGCAAGAGTTACTGCATTCTCTCTGGTGCCACTCAACCATTGCC